TGCCTGGAGTTCCGCGTACGGGATGAAGCACATGGCAGCTCGTCTGCCGCCTCCTCCTCCTGCCCCGGCCATCGCCGCCGTCCAAAACTCCCGGGGCTCCCGCTGACACCGCTGCCGATCGCTGCCCGTGGCGTCCCCATCACCAGTCGACTCATCCCCGCCACGCCGGGGGTAGTTTGAGGGACGTGCCTTTCCCTTGCAGGCTTGCCACCTGCCCACCAAGCCCGTACCCCTGCCCCTCCGAGCAGTCCCGAAGTGGATCAGCGCCCTCTTATCATCGCTGGCCACGCGGGTAGCCCCAAAGTCCCTGAGGCGACCCGGGCACCGGCCGGGTGGGCAGGGGTGCGGGGTCCCGGCTGGGTGGGCAAAGGGTGGCGGGACCCCGCTGCATGGGCGGGAGTGCGGGGTCCCTGCTGGGTGGGGAGGCTCACGCTGCCGTCTGGTGTTTTGGGGAGCAAAAGGCAAGTTTGAATGAACTCCGCACACTTCATGCCGGTGAATGAAGTGCCTGCACAGAGTGCAGTGTCCATCTGCCTTATGTAAGTGTCTGCTGTGCTAATGAATAATGGAATAAAAATCCCGTGGCATCAAGATATGTTTAGTTCTAGTATCTCTCTCCTCTCTTGCTTTCTCCCTGTAAAGATCCAATTCTGAGGAATATAGAGGAGTACAGCCTTGTCATCCCCACCAGCACCGATGCAGAGGGCAGGTTCCTATCCCACTTGGTGTCTGGACCGCCAAAAGCACGCTTCAGGAGAGCTGCGGAGGACTTGCAACGTGAAGCAGCAAATGAGCAAATATTTTACAATGTCACTGTTTTTGGAAGAGAGTTTCACTTCAGGTTGCGGCCAAACTCCAGGCTTGTGGCCCCTGGAGCAACAGTTGAATGGCAGGAGGACTCTGACGAGACTCACATTGAACCTCTCTATGGGAATTGCCTCTATGTTGGGGATATCACTGATTTGCCAAATGCTTCAGTCGCTATCAGCAATTGCGATGGGCTGGTAAGTAACTTTTGTTATTATATCAAAGATAATTACATTAATTTCCTACAGTCTTTAAATATAAAATGTGTGGACTGTCAGAAACTCACACCTCATATGGTAACTGTGAATGCAAATTAACTAATGTTCCCTTGTGTGGGAATAGCTGCGCTGCACCAGGCACTTCTTTACAGGCAGTGGCACTAGAAGTTTGAGCACATGCTCTGTGGTAGCTACTCTGGAACAGAGCAGCTGAAGCCAGGATTTATGTTGATTTGTGGTAAAGTTACTTGAGGTGTCTGATGCTTTGAAACAGAGGATGAAATGGCATGTTCTCGGCATCCTCTTCCACTTTTCACTTCCAGTCTGCGAAGGGAAATTTTAGAAGAGTTAATCCCGAATAATGGGCTGGACTGCCCTGGAAACAAATGTGATAGGTAAAATATGGTTTTGCCCTGGAAAATTTTAATTTATTCAGAGTCTGTTTTCATGGATCTTTCACTCGGTGAGGTTCATTGCCTAATCAAGTGATTGATGGAAAGTCACAAAAGAGTTTGAGTTTTACAAGCAGAACAGCTCCCTGTGATACATTTTGCAAGGCCGTGTGTTTTAAAACTTGCTGCAGCTTTCTGTTCTGGAGTGCATGTTCAGCAGTCAAATTATAACTGTTTGTCCCTGACATCCTAAACTGTCATACTACCATTTGAACAGTAGTTACTGCACAGCAATTTGTTTAGTGAGAAAAGGGCTATATTTTTGATAATGAACAGTTTATCCAGCCAGTATTTTCTTGCTATACCCTTTAGAATTCATAGTTTTGAGATTACTTAATTTTAATGCATTCTGTTCTCTGCATAAAAAGCCAGTGTGAGTCAGTTGTATTTCTATTTATTTAATCATAGAAAGTTGTTCATTTGCTGTGCCAAGAAGATAACATGTATGGAAATAGTATGTTGGCTATCTGAGAATGGAAGGGAATCAAATATTTTTCCCCTTACTCTTTCCTTTCCTGTGGTTTCTCCTAGCCACATGCATTCCTGATTTGAGAAGCAGGTTTTAATGTTGCCATTGTTTGATGTGGGCAGTTGTCTGAGGGCAAGAGGAACACCAGGACTGAGCAAGAAGAACAATTCAGAAAGCAGAATATGAGCCTGCAGGCCTCCTCTGGTGGGGAAGCAGAAGTACTTTGCTCTCCCCATACCTAGCACAGATTATTTTGTGTAAGGCAAAATTTACTTGCTCTGGGCATTGCAGAACTGGGGTGGAGCCAAAGCTCTTCTTCCTTGTTCATCTGTGCTGAAAGGTGGAGGAAGATCCTGTTGATGGCTGCTGCTTGCCTTGTGCCGGCTCTTCTCATCGGCACAGGTGTTGACTGTAAGGGTGGTGGGGGAGCTTGTTCCTTCTTCCTCCCAGTGTTAGCCAGAGTGTGGACTCCTTATATTTGGAGAAGAGAGTTATTATAAAATATAACAGGAGTTAAAGCCAAAGTACGGATAAGACTCTAAAGGCCCAAGGCCTCATGTTGCATGTGTAAATGACAAAATGTTTATAAAATGCTGCTCTTTTCTCATTTGTAAGTAACTTCTCAAGTGCAAAGGAATGAAGCCAGGCCTCAATTCAATGGCACTCATAAATAGCTAGAATCCAGAAAGCTACCAAAAGTATTTTAGTTTTCAACCTGTATCCATAACCTGTGTGCCTGCCTCTTTCCAGCATCCTTGTTTTCATTAGAAGAAGCAGGAGAGTTGGTCTAGTGTGGGAGCTGCCATATTCTAATCTGGATGTCATGCTGGTTCTCGCATGGCACTACAACTTCTGTGATTCTGCTAATACATTTGGAAATGGCTTACTGTTTCCTCCAGCGCGTATCTACATTGTAAATGTTGCTGGGCAGAGACCATGTTCGTTTTTGCCCAGGTCACTGAAGCCTTCCCACAGGAAGCATTACCTCAATACTTTTAAGCATCTGGCCGTAATGATTTCCCTGAGATTGTGCAGTAAATCTGTTGTAGAACAACGAATTGAACTCCAATCCCTTGGGTACTATGTTCCATCTCTACCCATTCCCTCCATCTCAGTTTCTTTCTTTCTTGTGGGGCGAGAGTTTAAAACAGATATCAATAGAATTACACAAACTCCAAGAAATGATACTAGCGGTTCCCCAAAAGCCACTGGTCCATGGACAGCAGTAATGAGCAACTAACCCACTGAAGTTAATACTGCACTTAACTGTCTCTCGGTTTACCTTTTTATTTCCTGTGTTTGCAAGGAGTATTGAAGAGTCTCTGGAGCAGTGTATTGCTAGCAAAACATTTTTAGAGACCACTGGGCTGTGTGTTATTCTCAGGTTTATTGGTATTTCAGATGTGAATGAAGACATGGACAAGGCTATTTTCAACTGGTTTTCTATGTCCATTTTTTTCTTCACACCTAGTTTACTTCAGTGGAGAAATTCTGTAGTACCATGGATTTTCTTTCAGTTGCCTAACAATATACATGCCATGGCCAATGTTCCTAACATACCCCAAGTATTTCCACCTCCTTTTCTAGATTACTCTGGAGATAGGGATGGTGGAGCGCTCTGACAACTGAGTTGTCAACTGACAAGTGTTAGAGTTGTTTGTTATAAACTTGCTTCATTTAATTCCTAGTATTTTCTTGAAGTGCTGGCTTTTGAAGGTGGTTTGACATCTGTCTATGCTTTTGGTGGGCTTCCAGCTTTTGCATCCAGACATTAGGGCTGAAATAATATTTGAATTGAAGTTTCATAGTTTGATCTTCACATTGCAAACTTTTGTTGGCTGAATCTGGTTCAAGTCAGTGAATGCATCTGCCACCTTGCCAACTTCTGATGTTATTTCCTCTGAACATCCCCTTTGGTTTGCACTTTACTGCTAACTGTGTCTTATTTTCCAATTATTGTCTGAGAAGAGTCTGTCTGGTGGTGTTGGTATTGCCAAAATGAGAAGTTGTTGGAAGGGATTTACATGAAAATAGTAGATCTGTGAACAGATTTTTGAACTGTACTATAAATGATGAAGGTTTTTAATCTGCGATAATTCTAAAAAATGAAAAGGTATGGTGAATGCATATACAGAATTATCTGCTGCCCTGACTGAGGAGATACACAGTTAGTTTGGGTCCTCCCAGTTTTCTGTAACAGAAGTCAATGACAACATTAGTTTTATTGACCTAAAAATCAAATCAGAGACAGATGAAGAGAATTTCTGAAGTATGCAAGCTAGGTGTGTTTTCAGAGCCGAAGTGGGTCCTTACGAATCATTGGAAAGTTAAAGCTGATCAACAGCTTTTTTAACAGCTTTCTGAATTATGGATAGGATTTTTACCATATTAAAAAGTTTTGTGAAAGCTTTCCCGCCTAAGATAAAAACACTCTGGACAAGTTGGTATCATCTTGGTTGGCATGATAACATTCAAACTAATTTTCCACTGTGTGGGCAGAACCAACGTGGTCAGCTGTCCATGGCCTGCAGACTGTTGTGGAAGATACTGCACTTTGAGTACGTTCTTGGTCCTTGGCTAGATCCTTACTTGTGGATGCAGTTGGAGGATGAGGGAGCTGGCTGTCTTCTCCAAGGGTTAGTTGTGAAGGAGAAACGCTTGGAGGCTGTAAAAATGCCATAAAAAAATAAAGAGTTAGAATTATGGCAGTCCTTCTGTATCACTGCCTTAAGTATGGGAACTCCCTTTCTTCACCCCAGCAGATGAACCTGCCGTTGTAGAAGAACTCTTTATGCATCTGGATTTCTTATTTTGATAAGTATTTCTGCAATGCTTGAGGCTGATGTGCCAAAAATGTCTTCTTCAGGTTGACAGGATGGCAATGTTTGGTTGTGGAACTTTAGAGACATAAACTCTCTCCCAGTCTCCTCATAACATTTGTAGTCTGTGGGCTAGGATGTGTGCTTAAACACAAGCAGATACAGGAGGAACACAATACAAACACCACATCTGGTATAGATAATGAGCACATGATTAAATTAGGCTGCAGTGCAGAGTTAGACTTACTGACGGGATCCTAAAAGGCTGAGGATCACAGCTTCAGGTTGAATAATCAATAGGATCTAGCACCCGCTGAAGCGAATAGAGGAACATCAGTTTCAATAACACAACATGATGTCTTAGCTCTGCTTCGTTAGTATAATCCTCTTCCTTTTTTAAAAGTTAAAATATCAGCTGTCAAAAAATTTAACTATATTGTCATTAAAATGGGAAGTTACTAGAAGTGGACATACAGAAAGTAAGCTATTCAGGACATTTATGGTTGTATGTTTTCTTATGGATCTGTAAGCATTACATGTCTTGGGGTACCAAGCCATAGTCACCTTACTAGTATAATGGACATAAGTGTTTCTTCTTACGTGATGAAGTAGGCAGGGTTTGCTCTACAACTTTCAGTCTTTACTGTATGCTGTAATAACCCTCGCAAACCATTTGAGAGAAGCCTTTTGGCTGGCTGCTTGCCCGGATGCTATTTCTTCTAGAAATGCTTGGGAAGCCAGCAATGCTTTTTAGACTCATGCCCAATACTAATAGTAACTGTAGTACTGGGCTGACCTGGGTGGGTTTGTGGTGATACATTCACTTTACTAGCTAGTCATGAATCTTCAGGAATTGACTGGTGCTTTGACTACTATTAACGTAAGTGCACGTCTGTCAGTTGTCTCAAGACCTTGTTATATATTACTTGTATTATTAGTTTTTTCCTCACTGTTTTAAAATCAGATAATGGAATATTTTTATTTTCTGCAGTCTTTATTTTACAGGGAAGTATTCATATAATCTAATTTTAGGCACATCATGTAAATTGTAAATGTAGGAACCCAGGTTCCAGATTCAGTCAATAGTCTTTCCTGAGAGCAATTCCAACTACCTGGCATGTGAAATGCCCACCTTTCGCCTTCCTGGATGAATATCCCCCCTCTCCCTCCTGCCACGTTCCCTGCATTCCTGAAGACATTTAAACACCTTGTGAAATCTATCCTTGTTTAGTATAATCC